TGTTTAGTTACAAAAATATGCACTTCCCTCGCCGTATGAGGTCAGTTATCCAGAGAGAGAGAGAGAGAGAGAGGGCTTTCATCATTTAATGAAAAAAGTTAAGTGAAGTATGTATGAAATCAGTGGCTTTAAATGTTTTTACATTGTATATTATTAAAAAATTAAAATCAAAATGACTATTTTCTGGGTACATATAAAGAAATAATAAAAAGGATATGGAATAGGATTACTTATTAGATATAATCCTGAAAAGCATAGAGAAAAAGATGTTCACTGTCAGATCATTAATTTTAAATCCTTTCTGCTGCCCAAATACTGAACTCTGCTTAGTCGTCGATACAATTCTAGGCTATTCTCCCTAGAAGTTTCAATTTATAAGTAAACAAAAAAGGTGTTGAAAAATAGTGCAAGCTCTTTGTTTCTTCTTGATAAAGTCGTGTGCAAAGCTGTCAACATAACAAAAAGATGTGCTCTTAGTTTAACAGCTAGTCTGATAACGAGATTTGTCTGAATAATGTGTGAAACCATCAGGTACTGCATATTCGTTACAATGACGCCACAGTTCTAAAGCATGTAGAGGACACAGGTACTTGATAAGATTTTATAGGAAGCCCCAGGATCATAAAGCATTACACTAAAAGCAAAACTTCAACCATTCAGAAATGAATATCTATTATGAACTGACAAGTACTTGAAAATTAAAAAAGTTCATGAGAATCAAGTCGTTGTTTTGTCGACAATTGACAAAGTCAGCGTCAATTTCAAAGCTTCCCCCCTTTCTGCATAAGTAAGTTAAAACTGTTGTTTAATATGTCCTCTGATCTCGAGATTTCTAACTGGAGAATTGCCAATATGTCGGCATATGTAGAGTAAAAACCCTTTTTAAAATGTTTGTAATAATTCATACATGTAAGTGCACATGTTACATATATCCCATTTTATTTGATGCATGGTCTGTAACATCTTCGCTAGCCAAGGGCTTCTGATACGCTACTCTCCTCATAAGTTTATGAGGAGAGTAGCGTATCAGAAACCCTTGGCTAGCGAAGATGATAAAAAAGAAGCATTTTCCTTTCAATAAGCTCAGTTTTTAAAACATTCCATTGTGCACAAAAAGGTCAAGGAAAGGTCCTTGGGTACATAAGTAGTATATTTATCCAACAAAGATACGTTTATCGGAACATCTTTACCTATTACAAGAACTTCAAAGCAAGCTTTCAGAACTGTTGATATTTAATATCCTGGTATAAACATTACAACAAACGCCTTATTCAATATTTATCTAGCATTTCGTACAATGCAATTCATGGCTGTAGGAACCGGGGGCACGGGGGGGGGCGTGCCCCCCCCCCCCCAATAATTTTGCCGATATATAGATTACTTTAGTAAACATACTATATGCTTGTGCCCCCTCAATAAAAACGTTGAAAATTGAAAATGTATGGCTGTGCCCCCCCCCCCCCCCAACTGAATTTGCTTCCTACGGGCCTGCAATTACAAGTTGAATAATTAATCAATTACAGTCAAACTTCGTTATCTCGAACTCGATGGGACCGAGATAAAATTTGGAGATATCCGAGGGTAAAATACTTACGAAATACGTAGTAAGGAACTTCCCAGTCACTTCGATACATCCATGGTATCCGAGATATCCGTGTCTGAGATACCGAAGTTCAACTGTATTTTATAAATAATGTACATGTATGTGGATTGCAAGCTGTATCAATTACTGGGAATTTTTTTTATATCTGTTTTAGTTAATCTATCCTTGTTTTGTATCTGAAGTTTGTTTATGTTTATCTATTTACCGTCTTTAATAAAGCATTTCGTTACCGGTGTAAATGATTCTGAATTAAAAATTGATAATTGATTGCTCAATGCGCAATGATTTAATGAACATCAAATAATTTATGTGCAAAGCAATGGAAAATGTTATATTATTAAGAAGAATGTAATCTGACTACAAAGCTATGCAGATTTTTTTTTAACAAGGAGATTAAAAACTTTTTTTCGATCAGGCAGAAAGAAATTCCGTAAATACACGATTACTAGCATAAAAAGTCAAATCTCTGAGCAAAAGAAAGAAAGACTTTTCAAAGCTTTGTATTAACCTTATTTCCTCGGTCAGTAAATAATGCAATCACGGGAACTTCTATTATATTCATTAAGGTAGTCCGATCCTCAGGTTCTGAAAATCAGCTTTTAAGTAATTGAAAATGCTCACAAAAATGACTCTGATTTCACAGAGTAACCTGAATTTACGCATGGTATTCCTTCAAAGTTCATCATTAAAGTAAATCATATTATATAGGGAAAATTATAAAATCTCAAATATATTTTCAGGAAATGCGAATAAAAGCACCAGCTATGATTTTCTAATTGAAAATTGATCAACAAATATATTTTAGAATAAAAAAAAATATAGGTATCCAGGCATTTGGAGAAAATTGCATCTTTTTTATGCTTATACAGTATTTCAGTTCTTCTATTTACTTCAGTTGTTATATGATACATAGTGTAAAATGCTTGTGTTATCATTGCCAGACATCACAGAGCACGTCTAATTTCATTTCTTGCTAATAAGCATTGGTATCTAGCTTAAAGGAAATTCGATTTCTCTAAAAAATTATTTTTTTTCTTTTATGTGGTACAAATGTCAACTTTTTAAAAGACCTTTTGTAAGACTTCAGAGAACCTTGAATCATATTGAGATGCATGAAATGAAAATTGTTTCACGAAAAGATCTCAATTTTAAGCTTCATTTTGAGACTTATTAAATAAAATAATAAATTTAAGAGTTATCCTTCCTGGCTGAGGATCGGATATCCTTAAGGTTAGTTAATTCTGCGCTGACCTTTTTCCTCAACATCATTTCTTCTTTTTTTTAAGTATGACACAAATTTTCAAACTTAACATGATTTTTATAAAACAAATCTTTTTTTTTTTTTTTTTAAAGTTCTCGTATATACCTTTTTTTAATGTTTAGCGTGTATGAAAGTCGAATGCCCTATTTATTTTCATTGTAATTTTTATATGTGTAGGGCACAGTATACTCAACTTTATCAATTACGAATCGCCATTACCACTTATTGACACTTTTGTAGCAATGGATTTTCTTGATATGCATTTATTACTATTCCACACGTCAATTTTTTTATTCAGACATTTTACCGGGAGTGGGCATACTTTAAGACCTCCGATGTTAATGTTAAGCGAAGTCACTTACAAGTATGATCAGGCTGTAGACAAAATAATTCTGAAAATCTTATGTTATTTCATAGTCGGGTGGAATTGTCCAAGAACTGGCACTCTTCGAAAATTGGTAGTCAGCCAGTAATATTTCGGCGTTTTAGATTTATTTATTATTACAACAAATTGTGTTTTTTACTTGTGGGTGTTCACTATGGGGGGAATGGTCTCATCAAATAGTTATGTGTTATAAAAAATATGAATTGATACTTCAGAACTCTATACATTTGAGGATAATTGGCCCAGCTGTTTACATCCAGTAAGTAAACAAGATAAAATCCCAGCGTCATCGTGTAGGTGTCTGTTTTGCTGTAAAAAATTGAATCAGTTGTATATACAAGTATGTATAAATTAACATCAACTAAAGTATAATGTATGAATTGGGGTAATTTGAAAGTTATACCTGTAACTAGCCATTTCATTCAGAATATGGTCCTTGTTTCAATCTTGCAATTAAAACAGTACTCCCAAATCTAAAAGTAAAACCAATAAAGCTTTAGGAGCAACAAGGGAAAAACTCAGTACGGATCAAGGGATTGACTTCAAATTAAAATCACGGACAATTTTTCGTTTTTTTTTTTACACTGAAGCATGAATTAAATTATGTACAATAACTCTTTACAATGTAATCAGACAGAATTCCTGCTGGGTTACCCGGATACGCTAATGTTGAATACATGTCCGCCCAGAAAACCGTGTCATCTTTTTATTCATTTTAATGAGACCATGAAGACGGAGGTTTTATGATAATGGTTATTTCTGAGAAGTTCTTCTGACCTAGGCAATATTGTTCCAAACAATGCTTTGCGATTTCCGCTCTAGTCTGTGTAATGGTTGTTCAATCTTGCATCCTGAACGTATTTTCAGTCTCTAAATCATCGTTGAAGGCCAGAAAATTACAATATTGTTATCCATGTCCTAGAGAAAATTTTACATTACATATGTTCTGCCACGTAATCTTAGGCTTTAAAAACGATACCGGTATAATGTTATGTTTTAAATTCATGCATTATGATACGTCATGAACAATCAAAATAGCAAACAATTTATAGTTTTCATAATTAGTCCTTATTTCTAAAATAGTTTTAGTAAGCCTGAGGCTTCTCACCTTGTGAAGTACTCTGAAACACATAAATGTAGAGAAAAAACCGAACCTTTTTATTTTAAATCATTTGATTCACTATGAAATTTTGCATTTAACTTGAAATTTTGCACTAATGATGTACCAAAGAGACTTTCAAAATATCTTGAAAAATCCAGTCACTTTATCCCTAAATTTCCCTTTTCTCTTTGAAAACCGACACAAATAGATCTTTGGTGCCAATGGAGTTTTCATGGGATCTTTAAGGTTCGCTGACAATAGGGAACCTTTATTGGATCGTTGCCTCCCTTTGACATCCGTACACCTAACTCTTATCTTATAGACAAATCGGTCACTTCTGCCATCACTACAAACTTCTCTTACTGAAGATTATCTCAATGTTCTACCCTTGAGTGATTGCTATATTTTTGCATAATGTTCGCTGATATGATGTTTAGCAATCTTTTTAACTCGTATATGATATTGTGGTTTCAATATTGTCTCTTAATTAGAGATATCTAATACATTTATCATTCTCCACCAAGTCTACCAGTGCTGATAACTTGAGCTATTTTTCCTCCATTCACGTAACAACATAAATCTTGGAGGCCCTGCCGGATTCAAACTCCGGATCGATTCTATACTTTAGCTTTTCCATTTTTTTTTTCAGATTTGGTTTGGCTTCGTGCAACGTCGGTCAGTAGGGTAGCAAGCTGGAAATGTATCACTGGAATTACTTTTGGACATTTTCGATATGTATTATTTTCAAATTAACAACATCATCGGGGAATACACAACGTGCAGGCCAAGCTACAGAGTAAGTTTTTTTTAAAATTATTTTTTTTTATTTGCGGGTTCAGAGAAGTAAAAAAGTACCATGGTTGATTGTTACAGAACCAGCATAAACCAATTTAAAACCAAAAAAAAAAAAAAAAAAAAAAAAAAAAATTGAAAAATTGAAACAAATGCAAGACTGAATACATTTAACTTGGGCACAATATGTAATGATTTCAGTTAAAAGAATGATAGTATGTTTGTTATTTCATAGGTAGAAGTTTTTCAAAATATTAATTGTACTTATTTGTTAAATTGTTCAATTGTAAAATGCGTCGAGTTTGTATGCTGGAAGAATTGTTTCAGATTCTTGATGATTTTTTTAAAATTCATGTCGGTGCAGTTAGAGGTAAGTTAAACTAATACTTTGAGGAACGATTTTATAAGTAAGAGTAAGATTTAAAAAAAAATCAAAAATATTCTGATCAGAAATCTTCACCTATATTCGTTTTGTAGTCTTTCATATCAACGTTAGTTAATTTGTTCCAACATTTAAAGTTGCATTTTCTCACATTAATTTTTTTTTGGTCATTGACCTCAATAAAGAAGATGGGCAACAAGGCGAACAAAATACCTATGCGACAATCAATCAAGTGAAAAATTAAATCTCAATTGTGAAAAAAAAATCTATGATATTTCATTCAACGTTAATGTATACCTTATGTAAAATCTCCTCAAATCGCAACAATCTCAAAGCTTGAAACTGTTCGTTTATGAAATAGCAGACATACACCAAAGAGGGCAAAAATGACCATTTCTTCATAATGAAACATAATTTCTTAATATGAGTGGGTCTTCACTATATATATATATATTTTTTTTTGGAAAGATTATACTCAAAAACCAAAGCAAAACCCACAATACCTTAAAAATACACTTTTATGACACAACATTAGTATCTTTCCGGGAAATATTTGAAGTCCATTTAGTCAAGGGTTATATCATAAATGATTTCAATGGCAGTATTTGCTGTGAGCGGTATAGTGGATTGTGGTATCTCTTCGAACCCCAGAAATACCACTTTTTAAAGTCATAGAATGTTTTTGCAGACAGAATTTTCCGCAGAAGAATTTTGTTCGTCATAATTTCATACCTTTCAATAATAAGAACTTAACTCTAAATACTAAGTTCAAAAACTGAATATGACTTTTTATATTATCAAATTATTATTTTCTTTTAAAATATTTTTAACTGGCACATGTACATATATACCCGAGCGAAAGAAGAAAACGTGATACTTAGTAGCCTGAATGTTACTTTTTACCTGTGACACAATTTATTATGGCAGGTTTCTTTTGTTTTCTTTCCAAAAATTAGAAACCCGATAATGAAAATTAATTGTGCGGTGGCGGTTTCCAATATAGTAGTCATTGATAAAGCTTTCCTAAATAAAGTTCACCACAGAATCGATAACTTCTCGATACAATCGCAGATTTCAGAAAAACTTTCCTGATAAACAAGAGAACATTTTAATTTTCTTTCATCACGAATAATTCAGTGATTAATGTTTATTTTTCATTCACTTCCAAGTCCTGGAAACTAAGCGTTCCCGACATGATTATGTTTCCATGTTTTTGGGACATAAGCTTCTGCAATTTCGTTTGAAATTTGTGACCAAAAGAAAACATTACAAAACAGGTTCTTAGATAATGTACATTAAGCTTGTAGAAGCGAACCAAATAGGCGTTGATGACCTCCAAGCACAAAAATACGAGCAAGATCTTTTATCAATTATTGTTTGAAACTTGTATGTAAATTTCAGTACGAATATAGTGTATCCTTGACCTGAAAGCAGCAGTCAGTCAGTCAGTCTTAAGATAAATAAGAAATATTTCATTGTTATTATTTTTAGAATAAAAGAAAGGCATTATACTTTAATTCTTAACATTTTATGAAACACGGTATTTTAATGTTTTTAAGGGGTTAAGACGCCCCAGCTATGTAAATTAGGCTCATGGACAGTTTGTAACGATATTCAAGTGTTCCTTGCAATGCACAATTCTACAGGACCCTTTATTCAGATGTTTTATTGTAAATGTTCCATAATCAGGGTAACATGAAATTATATTCCAATACATACAATATGTTTTTAACTTTTTATTAAGAGTTCCATCGATGGGCAAAACATAGGAACAACTTTTTTAACTGAAGAAAAAAGTTATGGATGATTATAATGCAATAAGTTTCATCAATTCTTATCAAATATAGCATCTGACGTGTACTGTTCAAAAACCACAACAATATCTTCCGTGTCCGCAAGCTTTTGAAGCGATTGTTGACCTTTCTGTGATCAATTCATTCCTTGCTAACAGAAGCACTTTCATGACAGATATAGTAGACACTTCTTCAAGGTATTTGTTTAGAATAGTACAGTTAAATATCTATAAAATGGTATCCATAATCTATAAAACGTTGCTTTAATTTAAAATCAATGTGTTTTTTTTTTCTCAGGAGATACTAGGTATTTAAGTCCTATATTCTTATGAGAGTAGCTTTAGTTTATTAAATGTGTATGGACGCCGGACTTGACTGGAGTTCTGTAGCTTGTATTGGGAAATGCTGTCATGTTGTTGGACTATTATAGTTTTGTACCTAGGTCCTAACATGCAAGTCCAGATTAACTCCTTAAGGTCTCAGAGGCGTTGTCTGTTGTGCTAAAAAAATCTCAGATGAGATAGGGAAAGTGTTTTAGTCAAACCTATATATGATAGCAAATACCCTGTACAATGAATACATTGTCGCCTCTGTCGGATTTCTAAACAATGAGCGTTAAAACTGGGTCTTTCCTACTAAATTTACAAAAACTCACATGAGATATTTGTGAGTTGTCTGACATACTCTAATTTTTCTTCTTGCAGCAACCTATGTACGTTAAAAAGTCAGTCTTCATATTACATACATATTAAAACGGCTTTAATTTCTCATTCAAATGATCCTCCTCAATTGTACGATATGCAGTGACCACCGGGTTCTTTAGCACTTATACCATATATCCTATAATCACGTAAAGAACCATAATAAAATTATTTATTTTGATGGTTTATCTTCACACGCGCACTTTAACTGATTACGCATCTGTTTGATTCGAAAGTCGACACAATTATTTATCAATACCAAAAATATAACGATCGTTTCCATCTACAGGAATGTACTTTATAGTCGGTGAGTGGTAATGTACGAGTTTCTATTCCAGAGTTCATTGCATCATTAAAATGAAATAAGTTCCATATGCCGTTAATAATGCGAATGTCGCAAACGTGTTTCTCTTGTATATGATTTCCGAAGAGAAGAAAGCGATAGACTGGTTCAATAAAAATCACTGGAAGGTGAAGATAAACACATAATCAAATAATAATTCCTTGATTAAAAATAGAAGTTTTATGGTCCCTCGATCTCCTATTTTAAAACAAATAAAAACATGATATCCAGAACTATTTTCTTTTCTTGAATGCCTCTGGGACCTTGATCGATTCGCACAATTTTACTTTTGCGATATTGACACTGCTTTCTAATTGCCACTGTAGTTATTGCTCGCCATAGCCTGAAAGAATATGATTCCAGTAATCAACTAAGTTTAAATAAAGTGTGTTGATACAATTGTGTCAAGACTAAATTGTGTCTGAATCACCTTATTCGCATTATGTCTTTTCTTTTGATTTTCAGAATAATAACGACGCCCTTTTATGTACAAAAATTGACGAAAAGTTCCAGAAAAGTTGGGCAAACCTGTCGTCATAAAGTCTCAGTGCACTCAGTTGCAAAGAAAAAAAACAATGTTTAATCTCAATTTACCTGCCAATTCTAGACGCTTAGAGATGACATTTTAAGTCTGAGTTGTAAGATAGTGAAAGGTGGTGATATCCGTGATCGGAGTCTTATTAGCAGTGGTGCCATTTCTTCTCAGCTTATCAAAACACATAAAGGATATTTTGATTAAGAAAAAGTTTATGTTGCTTTTGCTCAGCTTGTTATTTGAAAATATTGTGGCATCAAGTGTAAAAAAAATATTAATCGAACTTGTGCATTGTTCATTATATGCCACATGAACACCTGTACTTCGCACCATGTAAAGCTCACGTTCGCCCCTCGTATTCGATTTAGCCAACAAACATGAAAGACTATACTTATGAGTTGTGCTTCGGTTATTGTAAAAAAAACAAAAACAAACAACTGATTTCATCATGCCCTAACAAATAATAAAGCTACACCACGCCCGTTTCTTTCATCCATGGATACGCCAGATTATCAAAGTGAAACTTACATGTTTCATTACCTTACACGCCATTTTGATCGATTGCTTTCAAAATATAGCAAATGAATTAATTTCATATTTTTATTGTTCAACCTGGATAATTGACTTTTCTGCTAGATTATTAGTATTTTTATATATTTTCCCTTCTTCAAATTGAAAAATTTGCTTTACCGAATAAAACATGAAAATAGTGTAGGGAATAAGCCCTGTGCTGATTTATTTTAAGTAAAGGTGTCAAAATTGTCGATAATTCATATTCGAATATTCTGTAGGAGTCTTCGAATGTATTCCGATATTCCAAAAAAAAAAAAAATAAGTACCATGTAGGTCCCGCTTTATATTATAGCGAGCGCAGCGAGCGGCGCGAAGCGCCGCTCGTCACTGCGAGCTCTAACGACAACGCCTGGGCGAAGAGAAAATTCGGAATACTGCACATTCATTCAATAGAATTTTTTTTCCGCAGTAATTCTGACCCACAATGCATCGCTTCTTGTTCTCGCTGCTAACTTCATTCACGCGGTAACAACAACTAAAATTTCACAAAAAATAAACTCACCTTAATTTAATGGATATTGCATGCAGTTAGTAGATTAAACGTTCTTTGTTAAAATATGTGCACTTTTTAAACTTTGTTTATGGAAATGAAGCTAACATACGTCATGTGACGTCACAGTCTAGACGTTCCAAATGTCTCGTGCGGTTTGAAGAGGCGGATCTTAAAATGAAGTGAA